TGTCAGTGAAATCAGCTGCTGGAGTGTCGGGCCAGAATGACAAACTGTTCACACAAATCTCTCTATTGCACATGCTTGGACATCAGTCTGTAAGACTGTGACTCACATTCTGCTGCAGGTTTGTGGAGGCCCTTTACTCTAATCCAACCATCACGGACCATCAGTTTTTAAGGCTCAAAGCAGAATTTTATCCTGCCACCACACAGCACAGCTTCTTATTTTAAAACTAAATCTGTGATAACTTTTATAAATGATTTCTGTATAGTTGTCTTTGATGACACTGAAAGATGTATCTAAGCTAATTTCATACCATACAAATATACAACACATATCATGCAGATACAACAGCACCAACATTATATGAGATAATGATTAAATGATGAGAAAAATAATCTTTGAGAGACCTTTGTGACCACTGGGCTGGCAACCATGAGAACATGAAGGGTACTGAAAGTGGCGAGGTCTCATCTACAACATTTGACAGCTACAGTTGCTTATAGTAAATTATAGTTACTGATATAACAGCAAAGATTTTGAATGCAGGACGTGTACTTGGAAGTGAATACATCACTGCATCTACAACCACTCACTGTACTTATTTATGTGTGGGCATCCTGCAGGTAGCTGTCCAAATCTGGAGGCTGCTGCCCTCTACAGGTCAATGATTGACATGAACAGCACACACACATTTAGCACAAGAATGAAGCTGCATTGAACTATATGGTTATAACTGAACTGTACTGTTGAGGTTTACTTACAGAAAATGGACCAGATGCATTCATGAACCTACAAATGCATGTCATATATATTGTATATATCATACTCTGTTTTCATTTGTTTTGTTTTTCAGAAAACAGTGCCGTCTTTTCTGTTGATGTGGTTCTATATTCAGTAGATTTGAAATGACCCAGAGACTATGAGGTTAAAGCCCCGGCTTTCATCTTTCAGGAGGTTTGAGGATGTGCTGTAGGAATTATAATAGTCCTTACTTTTGGACAGTGGACAGTGATACTGAATGGAAATAACTGTCCAAACACATGTGGATTACCCTCTATACATCCCACCGGAATTGAAGCCATCCTAAGTAATTAATAAAAAGCAGAATGATTTACATTATGCCCATGAATCTAAATTATGTAAATTATTCACACATCTGTTGATCCATGTGTCCGTCAATTTTCTACATCCTGTTCCGTTTTTTTCAGAGCCTGTTGTGTCCTGGAGTCTCTCCCAGAGTGCAACAGTGACAGGCTTCTGTCGCAGGGCCAACAGACATATATGTTGACCAGCTGTTCAGAAAGATGCCGAATACATGACAACCTGTCATTAACAACCTAATCATTTCCACAAATATTGTTGTGTTTTGCTTGATTGCTGAGCTAATTGCTTTAATTAATTTTGTACAAGGACTGTGTTCAAGAGAAATACAGAGCGTATATTGTATTTGTTCCTTCTTCCTCTTGTCTCAGGTTTCATTTTCTCACGATAACAACTTTTCTTTCTTTTTTTGATGCATTTAAGACTTGTTGATATTTATTTTAATTCAGTTGACTGAATTATTGTACACTTTATAACACTGTCCACTAGGGGGAGAGAGTGCATTTCGTGTCCCTGTCTCATCACTCCTTTTGTGAGGCGGCTGAACGGTCCATCACAGGTTTGCAAGGAGGCTCAGCATCAACTCAACACTGGTGTTTCTACTGGTACAGAGACGTGGATTGTTAAATTTAATCTAAAATATGAAAACTAAAGTAGATAAGATAAGATAGTCCTTTATTAGTCCCACACTGGGGGAATTTGCAGTGTCACAGCAGCAAAATGGACAGTACAAGAAAAACTGCAAAATGCCAGTAACAAATACTTGGAAAGATAAGTAATAGATAAATTATGTACAATTCGATATTTTGAAAAATGTATAACATGGCAGCAGTAGATGGCACTGGGACCAGCACTGCACATCACTGTGAACATGCTATGAGTTGCTTCATTGTTATTTTGTAAGACTTGTCACCAGAGTGTTGGGGCTCAACAAAAGTTGCAGACGGAGGCAAAATGTAAAGCACTTTGGATAAAAGCACAATAACTGCAGCCATTTACTATGAACCAACATGCCAAATGTTTGCTGCTATCAATTAAAAATTTATTCACAAGCTGGTAAAAAACGCTCTAAATCTGGGGCTACTGAACGACAGTTGTGCCAATTAGAAAAACTAAACCCAAGTTCACTACCTTGTCAAATTCTTGGGGGGAAATGCAACTAGGATATACATTTCCTGTAGAAAATGCATGACAGTGGAAATACGCTGCAAAAACAATTGTGGAAGTGGCTGAAATCTCAAGTGAATCCGACAGTTCACACACACACACACACACACACACTGCGTCGCTGAAAAGACAACTGAAAGCTGAAATGTACTACTTGCAGAGTTGGAAACTGAAGTGTGTTACCTAAAGAAGCCAAGAGCTGAAATGCATTGCTGATACAGTTGGAAGGTAAACTGAGACACTGAAAGACTGCTGAAAAAAGTTTTTTGGGGGGGGTTTGTGAAAAGATAGATGAAGTGCATGAGCAGACACACACATAGACACAAACTCAGTCAGTTAAATACAACACACTGCATGGACAGCTCTCTCACCTCCATCCTGTTGTCATCCTCACTGTTGTCATGGATGAGACCAATCCCTGTGCAATACTGTCATCTGCAAATACAAAGCTTTGGTTGTTATGATGTTTGGAGACACAGTCAGAAGTGAACAAACTAGAGTAGAGGAATCAGAGTTAGCAAAGCAGTTGGAGTTTATCGCTATCACTCCTTTTCCCTTCAGTGGTTTAGTTGCGCGACCGAAGCTGCACACTGCGTAGTTTTATTTACACGTACATTTACACAGTCGCTACGTTGCTTACCTTTCGATGAGGCGCGTGGTATTTTCACCTCGCTGTCTCCCTTCAATTTGTTTGTTTGACAAAACAGAGGTGTGCCGCTTCCCTGTGCTAATTAGTAGGCCTGTGTCTTCGCGCGCTTCGTGGTCACGTGAATTGTGTTTCCTGTTTGTAAATATTGATTTTTTTTTCTTTTTTCTTTTTTTTTGCTGGAAATGACTAGTTTTGCTGAAAGGGAAATGTGTATGAAAGCATCTGGTTAAAATATGTTTGGGTTTCAGAAATGGTGATTGTTTTATCTGCCAAGAAAATATGTTAACCCAACTACATTAAAGTAAGTTAAAAACCCAAATCCTACATATTTTTTAATGTAAATATTAAGTCTTGTGGGAGGGGCCACGGGGTTAAAAGGAGCTGCCTGGACCCTCATGGAGTCTCTTAATTTGGTTACAGTGAAGGAAACAACTACTGAAGTCCCAGCTGGCATATGAGAATTTCTGAATTGTTTGTAATGGTTTTCATTGTTTGCACCTTGGGAGAATTAATCACACCAACATACTATCTTTGACTACGCCTGTGTTTTTCCCATTGAGGAGGAGTACGGGACAGAACCCCTCGACCATCAGTAGGAACAGAGTAGAACTGACCTGAGCCGATCTGTAAGACTCAAGGTAGACCTCTGTCAGGGCCTTCATCCACCTCCCTCTCTGTCACTTGCAATGTACTGTCAAAACTGCACTGGTTGCTCAGACAGTCTCAAAGTACCCATGAAAACAGTTCTGCTAAACATAACAGACAGTTGAAGTCACGCTAAAGGGATAATGAAACTACAGCCACATTACAAGCGAGATATAGTCTGTTTAAGTTTTAGTGGTGCTGGTTTTCATTTTGTTGCTTTAGGACAGAGCCAGGCCACTGTTTCCCCAGACAAACCAGCTGCTGGCTTTAGCTTCATATTTAATGGGTAGATATGGGAATGGTATAGATCCTCTCAACTAAATCTTGGCAAGAAAGCAAGTGTAAGTGAATTTCCCCAAAGCTCAAACTAACAGCAGGATGTTTTGGAGGAATATTTCCAGCATTGGCAAAGTGTGTTACTGGAAGACACAGAGCAGCAGGCCGGGGTCAGTCAGCGTCTCACTGAGGACATGCAGCGTTCACTGTGGCCAATCTAAGAGGCTCCGCTCAGTGTGTGAATGACGCTATCCTTGGGATCACAGAAACACCATTATCAGCACACGCTGACATCACTCAGCCCTCCACAACAGCCACACAACACCCCTTCACGTTCCCGCACACGCACACACCACCGCCCGCCTTCTGCAGCACAGTCATTGTGTTCATCGGTCAGCCCATTGTCTGTGCGAGGGGCACGGCGGACAATGTCGCCAATCTCTGTCCAAACCATGATCCAACTCCGCTATTGTGACCCGTCTTTTTCCCCACTTAAGCAAACAAGATGGTGTTCCCGTGGGATGAGAGGGGGTTGGGGGTTAAGGGGTTGTTCTGCCTGGCACTGGGGGTGGGGGTGGGGGGTTGAGGAGGGCACAGATTATTGATCAGTGACACCAATGCAGTCACTGTGGTGATGAAGGCCTTGCTGAAGAGACATGTGGATGAGCTACGTAAACGAAAAACCATGACAGGATGTCACTTCTCTGCCGGGAGTCCTTGCTTGTGCACTGTTGGGTCATCGCTGCTTCTCTGCCTTCAGCTTGAAGTCATGATGCTTCTACATCTACTCTGAGAAGAGTTTCATCCCTGGAACAAACTGATGAGTTCAACATTTGTTTGAAGATGGATTATTTTTTACTCGAGGCGGAAATCATCTCTTCTACAGAATTACACAACGACACCAAACAACTGCGGGATCTTCTAACCACTGTAATGACTGTTTGACTGAGGTTGTCTGACGGGATGCAGATGGACGGACAACAACACTCATTTACCAAAAAGTGAGTAATTGTTTTCACTGAAGTTGAGATGAAGCACAGGACGTTTCTGCTTGTGTCAGTCAGCTTAGTTATTGTAAATGTAAAAGTATCTGTGTTTATTCTGATCATCAACCCAAATTCTGCATCTCACAAGGTCAGTCTGGTTTTGGGTGAGCTGACCTGCCATGCCTGAGATGCAGACTTTCTACCACGCCACGCGTCGGCCCCCCAGCCTCTACCTGGAGCCCACCTTGATGCAGAGACGTGTCCTGGAGGAGCAGGTGGAGCTGTGGTGGTTCAGAGAGCCGCGCCGCTCCTTGCTGTGTTACTGTGCCTCGGTGGCCCTCATACTGGGACTGGGCCTCGGCGGCGTGGGCCTCCTCTCCACCACCACGAGCCTGTCCGGGGAGTGGCGACTCGGGGTGGGCACCACCCTCTGCCTCTTAGCCCTCGCTGTTCTACTCAAGCAGCTCCTCAGCTCTGCCATCCAGGACATGAACTGTGTGCGAAGCTGGCGCCGCATCGACCAGCTGAAGAGCGGCGGGAGGGCTGACCCGGCGCTGATTCTCGCTGTGGGGTTGGCAGTGACCCTCTGCGGGACAGTGCTGCTCTGTATGGCCACAATCGGCAGCAGAGGTTATGACAGCAGGGAGATGTTGGTGTCTGGGCTGGTGCTGATGGCCGCTGGCGCCGGCATGGCTCTGGCTGTGGTGGGCTACAGTGTGCTGGTCTACCTGAAGAGGCGGAGGGAGCAGAGGAGGAGGAGGATGATGATGATGAGGATGAGCAGAGCGAGGAGGATAGGGAGTCGAGCTGTCCGGGTGTTCAGTGTCTCAGGGGGACAGATGAGCCAAGCCAGGAGAGAGACGTCCTCCAGCAGGAGCAGCCTGATCTGAATGAACTTAAACATGTTAAAGGAAAACAAAGTAGAAAAGTACTGTCAGTGCCTTATTTGAGACGTCATAGCTCTTTTGTTCCAGTCTTTGTGTTTCCATTACCATAAAACGGACGACTACTGAACGCCATCAAAAGAAAACCTTCAAAAAATTTGTACCAGAGCAACAATCTCTGAGTCGTTGTGGTTGGAAATAAACTCAGTAAGTGTTCATATCAAATCAAAACATTACTGCGGTGGATGTTTTTTGTGAGTTCTGTACCACGGACTCAAAGAACCAGGCTGCCGACTTGTATTTGAAAACAGATGATGATGGAATTTCAATCAAGCTGAATTTATTCACAAATTACATATAGAATATTTTTTTCTATCTGACATGAATACACTGACGTTCCTGCCTCTCTCTCTCTCATATACACACACACACACACACACACACACACACACACACACACACACACACACACACAACCACATGACTTGAAGAGAGTATGATCAGCAACTTCAGCCTTGGTGTGTAAATGTGTCAACTTACAGATGGATATTCACACAATATATTCATTTTAAATATTACAGATTTAGTTTTAATGACAGGAAACATCTCGACTTACCAGAACTATAATCTCTACTTTTGTCCTTCACAGCTACCGTACTGTACTCAAATGAACTCAGTGACAAGCAGTAACATTTTTCAAAATAAAATCCATTCACCTGTTTATACAATGTTCATACATTTCATTATTATTTTATCATATCATACTATTTCTGTCCAATCGTTATTGCTCAGTTTTCACATTATAGAACATTGACTGTGCAATTTCAGTGGTTCCCAAATCGGGACGCATCCAAGTCGTCACAAGATAATCTTAGAGGCGATGAAAAGAGTCACTGGAATCAGGAAAACAGAAAAAGCTAAATTGTGATTTGCTTCCTTTTTAATTTTTCATTAACTTTGACCACTTTTCTTGTGATATCTATATATACAGTATAATGTTCTGGCCTCTACAGTTATTTGAATGAAACAATACGAGATGTTTTGAAGGGAACTCCCTCTCTGGTGGAACCAGCCACAGTTCATAGACATATACAAGCTGTGATTACGGGTTGCAAGTGAACACTGATTCAATTTCAATTGTCACAAGCCAAAAAAAGTTGGTGCCATCGTTTAAACTTAGAATCAAGATTTCTGTGTCATTTCTTCTCAGTTGTAAACCAGCTGTTTTTGATCAAGTCTCCCGTCACCTAATCATCCTATAGTGAACTCAAGATCATCGTCGCTGTCCTCTATCCCCTCCTCCTCCTCTCTTTCTCTCTCTGCCCTGTGTTTCTCACTGGTCTGGATATAGTTGTCCTCAATGAAGCCGTCATCATCGTCGTCCAGCCCGCTGATTGTCCCTCCAACCACTCCCAGTCTACCCGACACGCTGTTGGGGAAAGACACATCCTCTTGACCGTAGTGGCTGACCCCGTCGGCCTCCTGGAGCAGGGAGTGTCTGTAGCTGGCCAGGAAGCGATGGAAGAGGCGAAACTTGACAGTCATTGCGATGAGGAGTGAGATGGTGAGGACTGTGCCCAGGGCTGCGGCGAGATAGGACCACTCCAGCGACTTCTTGTCCTCGCCTGGATCGACTGCCCCTGGGAAAAGAGCAAGAAAAAAATTTACTGCGTCTGCATGTGACTGTACAGTCAGAGGTCAACACCAGTGCGTTCGAAATGTTTCCTGTAAATGAAGTGGGACAGAGCTCAAAGTTCCTCAGATACACCTGGTTGTAAATAGTTAGGTGATGGTAAAATACCCAGCAGAGTACCTTTCGTTACTTACTATCAAGTCCAACAGTACTATTAGTGGGGGTGGGCTCTTCCTCAGTTAGGAGATGTCTCTGGGGGGCTTTGTGGTCCCCATTAGATATAAGACCAGGATGTGCTTCGGTGATAAAAGCTCCACAAAGAAAAAACACCACAAAGAAGCTGCAGCTCCACCGACCCATCTCTCTGTCTCGTAGCAAAACCTAGAAGAAACAAAATCATCAACTGGTTACACTTACTGAGGATTATGAAAAGTACAGAATTTCCTCTTTGTGTTACTTTCCCTCAGGGGAACACAAAGTTAGACGGCAGTAGATCACACCCCCTTGATATGAGCAACTCGAAGCTTCAACTGAACTTCAGTATGTATTTTTACATGAAACAAGGACTGTGATTTTGTCTCCTATCTCTTATTGGAATCTATAATATATTGGAGGGTGAATAGTTAAAGTACATTTAAGTACATTACTTACAATGTACAATATTCAGATAACTGAAAGATATTTTTTCAAGCCTGAAGTTACAGGTTATTTTGCATATTAAGATTTTATAATCAAGCAATGTGAACAGTTTGTAAAATATGATGCAGTGTTGAATCATTTTAGACCTTAACTGAGTTCTTAAAGTCTCAGTATATATTTAGTATTTAGTATAGCTTTTAAATAGTGACAAACTCTCACAGTGCTGTAAGAATATCCCAATCAGTTTTCAATGCTTAAGTTATTATATATATATATATATATTTACATTTACTTTTGCTTTTAAGTGCATATCGCTGATGTTACCTATAAACACCTTCCTTATGGCAGTGGAAAGGACATTTTAACAAACAATTTGACATGAACAAACACAATATGAGTAGACTGAAGCTGTCACATGATGTTAGGGAGTTGACTTGCCAGGTCTTGAACAATGTTCATGATTATAGTCCTGAACTGCTTACTAATTAACTTCAAACATAACACACACACACACACTTGTTAATCTAGACAACAGATTCGTATATATTCCCACTGTACATTTTGGCTATACATCTTTAATTCCAGACACAAGTACACGAGTAATATAAGAAAAATAGTTAATCAGGTGATGGAGGCCGGACAGTAGCTGTGTCTACTCAGTCTGTGTCACATACATTCCCCAGCCAGAGACTCAATTGTCAACTTACACAACAACGAGGAAAACAAAACATCTAAAATGACTTACCTGTACAAAATAGGATGACTGGGATCACTGACAGAGCAGGTGTATTTCTTCTAGTCCTGTCTTTCAACTGGTGTTTTTGTCTTCCTCTTCAGCTCGTTCTGAAATAATAAAGAGATTTGCTGGGCAAAGGTTGCAGCACATGCCATAATGTCACCCTTCCTGCGCCATGCCCTTAAGACAGAGATGTTAATGAGTAACTTTATTAGGTTTGTCACTTGTCTTACATCTAGAATTCCTTTTTTTCCCTTACTTTTTCAACCAGGAAAGCAAAATGAATCTGCTTCTTCATTCAGAGTTAGAAATAATTCCACAATTTACTCCTTCAGAGGAAGGTCAATGAGAAGTTATTACAGATTCCTTGACTGGAAGGGAAGAGTGCTCATGATGAAATGGATTGTCATGAGCTGTTGCATCTGTGCTCTGAGACCAGATAGTGGCACTGTAATCACATTAGATATGTGAAGAGGTGTCTGCATGCTGCATGTGCATTAGGACATCTGTGTCAGTTCACAGTTTGTTTTTGGATTTTACAGGAAATCAGTAAGAACTCTGGCTTCACATAGTTTCAGTGGATTCTCTCTTCTCTCATTAAAAAAGATTTTTCTTCTTGAACCACTTCCCGCTAAATCACTAGGTCTCTAATTGGAGGTTCTGAGAGGAGGGCAGGTTGAAAATTACTGAAATGATTCCAGGTGGTCGCTGTCTCATGTATTATTGATGCTCATTCAACTGTGATCTCTGTGATCCCTGTGGGAGGAAGAAATGTGTCTACAGAGGAGCTTCTAGCGTGTTTCGAATTTTGACGCTTGACTCAGGAGATGGATTGTCATCTCTCAGCACCTCATTATATGCACTGCACTTCACAGAGAATAGGGCAGCCACCAATGCGCACATGAGAAGTCGGATTACAATTTCCAAATTTAAGGCTAACAACAAAAGGCTGAATTTGAGATATGATATAGGCCAACTTTATATCATACATTTAACTATTTTTTAACTTTATGTTATGATGCTGATTGTGAAGGAGAAAACAACTCTCTCTTGGTAGTGATTACATTTACTGTGATGTGAAAATTAAATCCCTGTAACAGAGATGGGGTTGATGTAAGGTGACCAGATTTCTGAAATGAAAAAACCAGGACATTTCCAGTGCGGTCAACATATTAAAATATCCAATGTTTTTACCTATGAAATAAAAAAGGGGGGCAGTCCAGGTTTCATTTATTTTGACCATGGTAACTGTTGTACTGTAATAAACTATGGCGAAGGCCAACTGATACAATACAACGACTCCCTACCTTTGAAGCTCTCATTAATTCAGACTGTCTGTCTAATCCTCAATTATTTATCTATATATTTATTATTCCTTTATTTCGTATGGGTCCACCAACTCAAAAAAAATCAAAAAGTTGTGAATATTGTCATGTGAAGTCCATTGCAGACAGTCTGGCAACTTCTTCACTTCAGTTAAAAATTAGGATATTTTCAGGGGCAACTCCAGCAGGGGACAGGACACCTAAAACAGGGACTGCGTTAATCTACTCTACATGTGACAGAGCATACCTTTATGACTGTGCTCAGTAGAACCATCATTTGGGACTGAGCAGCTATTTGTAAGTTTTTCTATTGCTACATAGCTAACGTTAGCACTACTAGTCTAGAAGAAACATTCAGCATCAAACTTCATTCCTTTACTCACAAATGTTGTCTAAAGCAGTGGAGAGCAACTCTCTTGTTTTGCTTCTATTTCCATCAATTATTTTCTTCTACTGAAGTTAGCATGCTCTTGGCAAGACTGGTGAGTTGGTTAATGCTAATACTGACTATGTAGCATAGCAAAACCTACAATGACCCATTTAATGGTGTTTTTTACTTGTAACTTTACTTGTAACAACCTGACCCCATCTCTTTGACACCAAATGCTGCTTCCTCACCTGCTTTATAAGCCTAGAGTCTCTACCAGCTCAATAATACAATGGAGGGCACATGACCACTATTATCTATCATCAGTGTTTATATACACACAACACAAATGAAGAGTCTGCTAGTCCAACTTTAAACAGTCAATGTGTATGTGAGTGTTATGTGTGTAATTAGGGAGATGCTTCCCAGCTCCCTCATGGGGATAATTAGGGGAGTGTTGTCATGGTGTTAAAAATTCAAAAGACCCTATTCTGCTCTTCCAAACCAGTCAGACTACCCTCTCTTCAGCAAAAAGAAAAAGTACACAACCTTAATAATTTAATAATTTGTGTATAGGGCCATTAATTCCCAAGCTTTCTATTAACTTAATCAGATGTAATTACAGCTGTGAAGCCTTCAATGTGAACGTTTTTCAAAAAATCACATAACGGTAATACTTTTAGTGCCAACCTGTCAAGAACCCATCCATTCCTTGTGAAAATGAAGTGAAATTGATTTGCCACAGCCCATTCACATTACAGGTACATAATTTCCATTCAGCTGATTTCTATAAACAAATATCTGCCAGTGTGTCATGAAAATCAGTTTTTAATGCATCACATCTTATCATATCGTAACATATGGATTTTATTAGAGTTTTATTTGAAAGCTCTTTTGAGACGGGTTGATCACATTATTGCCATCAAGATATCAAATTGATTTGCAGGTAAGAGAATCACTTTACCTGCTTTACATGAGAGCCAAGACTAAATTAAATGACCTCCTGAAATAGATGACAGCTGAAAAACACATCTATTCATTAGAGCCCACTTCACTTAGAGGCCTCTTCCATCCACTGTGATACGCGTCCTTGATGGTCTAGTTTGTCATGTGGTTTGACCTTCACTCCAGAACGGAGGGAGTCAAATCACATTCGTTGCGTAATGAACACTTTTGACCGGCTCATACTGGATATACAGTCTGGTACCAAACCAGTCTGCTCACACTTCTGCCTTCATAAGTATCTGTAAAATGCTTCATACACACACATAGACAAAATGTGCTCATGCTGCACTTCTCATCCCCATCGAACACATTAAGAGCTAATTAAAACGCGGACATCTCCCTTTAGTTTGAGGCACTATAGATGCTAATGGAGGTTCTATAAGTTGTTTTCTATTCAAGGACTACATTTCTCACACAGTGTGCAGATTAGTGTAGCTACAGTTAGACTTGGTTAGAGGATCCATCCAGTGGCAATTCCTACTAGCTTTTCTCATCAGAGCTGGAGCTGATCTATTCTTTGGAGAATATAACGTACTGAAAAGTTGTCATTGAGGGCTGTTGGATGATTCATGTTAAGGAGCTACGTTAAATTCTTCATCTTTGACTCAAGAAACTGAGGTTATGAAAAATACCGTCTAATGCTTATTACTGTACAATGATCAAAGCAGGTTTGTTGTCATTATGATTCTTCCCACAAACGTTTTGAGAAACACTCCAGTCCATTATGCCAAGACGCCGACTCTCTGCAGAGTCTCACTGAACCATCTAATCCTATTTCTTTTAACCAGCACAGCAGCTTTAAAGCAAAGGGGAAACACAGAGACGCACACAGCCGTCATGATCAAGAGCTGCTCAGCTGGATGTGTTTAATACAAACACAACAAACATCAGCTTGGCAGTGGAGCTGATGGTCACACGGTTACTCTGAAAAAGAAGCGTGTGTGAAGGTAAACCAATAAAAAAAACCAACAGAGATGAATTCCTGTCACAGCTCAGGATAGGACTCAGTTGCACTGGTAAAAATTCAAAACAGTTCACCTTTAATAAAGCTCAGCAGCCAAAAGCAGGCAGGGACAAGCAATAGGCAGTGAGCGTGGTAGGTGGGAAAACCAGGCAAAAGGCAAAATCCAAAAATGGGAAGTTGACCGAAAACTGGCAAGCAAACACAGATAAGCAAGGCTGGAAAGTACAATAGACTATCTGGCAGAGAATGAGTGGAAATGGTCCAATAAATATACAAGGAATAGACCGGGGAATGAGGAACAGGTGAGTAGGAGAGCAAAGAAGAGTCAGGTGGCTGAAAGGTGGGAAGGGCTGGGGTTACTGCAGGGCAGGAGGGAGTGGAAGAGAAGTTAATAACATGGCAAAGATAGGCAGAGAATGAACAAATCCATGAATGGAACTGTGAAAAATTATTTTTGAATAACACCAATAACGCACTGCTGTAATGGCCACAATTAACAAAGAAATAACGGCTTCTTCTGTCCATGGCTGCTGCAGAGTCCCAAGTTCCCGCCTTTGTGTCATCCAGACTGGATCATTGTAACGTTATGTTTTCAGGCCTGTCACCTGCTCGTACTAAAAGACTTCAAATGATTCAGAATGCTGCAGCTAGAACTTTAACTACATCTATACGCTACATCCACTTCATCGCACCAGTTTCAGATTCCTTTCACTGGCTCCCTATTCATGTCAGAACAGACTGTAAGTTGGTCTCATGAATGCGATTCTCAACGACGCCTTAGCCTCACAAATCATGTGCAATCAATAACTCAAAACTCATAACTCATACGTTAACTGTGACACAATTTACCACAAATATCTAATAGGATGAAATGTTGTCCTGTCAGTGAGATTACTGGACACTCTGACCCTCTGTTTGTTCCCTCAAACACATGGTGGTGTGGCGGCACCTGCAAGTTGCTAAACATGCTCAACACGTTTGTCGACACGGTAAATTTACTATGAGCTCTATTTTGTGCAGATGACATCTACTACATGTCTATCCATCCCGGGGGAGGGGTTTTTATCCAATTTGAGGGTCTGAGTACAGATTGTAAAGGCCCTTATGATAAATTTGTGATTTGTGTATATCTGTATAAGTCATAATTATTTTATTGAATAGATTTAAAAGCCATTGTCAGTCTTCCTTGTAAATATCTATATACAGTATGTGAATCAAAGTCCAGTTTGACTTTTACTGCACTTCACAGTGTCAGTACCATGTGTCATAACTTGTTTGTTGCTCCTCCATCACGACATCTTACCAGCGTATAGTCAATCACTGAAATGGCGGCATCACTGCATAATAATGAGTGTGCAGGTGCTTTTGATTCAGAATTTATTGATGCTCTTTCAAGGACTGTGAATAAATCAGTGTAAATTCATGGGATGTATAACAAAAAAAAAAAACACACCATCAAAAATATAGGGACATTATAGGAAACCAAACCTTTGATTCTTTGAAATGTACATGTATATGGTATAGGGGATTGCTGTGCACACCTTTGTGCTGCCGACATTTGTTGAATTTATTGACTTAGAAAACTGAATCCCTCCAAGCATTTGACAAATATGACATTTTGTAATATTTTATAGGGAAACCTTTATACACATTTATGAACATGTTATTAAAAGAGGGTTTTCTGTTTCACTTTCATTTTTAAAGCACATTTTAACACAGAAAGTAACAGACTGATGAAAAGGGAACACAGGTGTTTTGTTTGCTTTTTTTTTTTTTTTTTAAATCTCTTTCCATATAATAAACACACAAGTGAACATTAATCACATTCTCTGGACACAACGATGTGCATGAATTTATAAATACTGTAGCTACATTCTGAGTTACAAAAAACAAGGGCACTTGAAAGATTTAGTAATTGAATAGCCAGTAGATAAAGAGCATAGTGTGTTAGTGGGTTCACAGAAATGAAGCTCTCTTATGAATGCCCTTATACATACGATAACACAGTAAACAATCTGAACTCTTCCTTCCTTTCAAATGTCCTAAGGATAGATTTACTGGTTGATTAAAGTGGAATCCTTGAGGAAAAGAGACTCGACGGCACAGTGGTCAGAAAACTTTGTGTCTGTCCTGAATAACATTTGCCAGTATACCAGCAAATACTGCAGCAAATACTGCAGGCTGGTACCATCCATTGTGCTGCTATGCAGAGGCTTATTTGGACAAAGTACGTAATTTATCAGTCTCATCCATCGAAAACAATTAGCATTTCTTGATCTGTAACCCTAATGGTTAATTGATTACTCTAAGTAAGAGAAACTGAGACACAGCATTAAACAGCAGTCACACCACAAGGTGACATTCACTCGTCCACAGAAAATAGATCGGGCCAGAAGCTTGGTGATGTAGTGACTACACACAAGTAGTAGTTCCTGAAGCTTCTCACCCACTATTTTCTCTGTACTGTTCTGTTTACTTCATTCTGGCATTTTGTTCAACATCACAAACAAATTTGTTTTAGGAAAAAAAAGTTACAAAAGAGGGAAAATAAAGCTCTCGCTTGGTAACAGTCAGCGGACCGCAAACTTGTTAGCTTGTTCGCTAACTTGTTGCTAGCTCAGTCATTTCACAGTATATTTAAAAGATGTATTTGTGCTATCGAGGTCTGTCTCATAACTCAGCAAACCATCACTCTTTTGTGGGACAGTTTTTACGCAGATAGAATAGGTCGAATAAAAGTGGAAAGCTACAATAGCACAGAACATTCGAGCAGATTCATTTCGCCTCCTCAAGCGACTCCTCTACTCGCAGTCCTTCCACTGGCATGGACCGAGTTTATTGCCAGATTTTGCCGTTTGAAATCCTGGTGCGTTCAGGCCTTTAGTTCAGCACTGAAGTTGCACTTGAATTCATTATTTGACTGATATCAGCTGTTTCATTCATGCCTTAGTTTCAGTGCTTCATTCTGTGTGGCTATCAGCTGACTTGTAACGTCCAATCATATTCATGCAGGTGTACAGTGATACCTTATCCTCCTCCACATGTGCTATATTTTTAGTGTTGTTGATAACAAAGATTCAGTGTTAATGGGTGTCTTAGCTAAATGGGAATTGGTGCTTGAGCATAATCAGGGAAACATTAATTTTTTTTAGTAAAAAGAAACCAAAGTTGACAGTTGTTGGTCTCCAGTGTCAGAGTCAGACATGCCCGACCATCCGCCCTGGATTCCAGTCATTACTTGGATGATAACACAAGTTTGTTTATCAGGAAAACATAAACATAAGTTACTGTAATCATTTGAACAAACAAGTGACACTGTCATTTTTTTTCTCATGAGGAAACTCTCATCACACTGTAGATGCTCCCCACAGATCCCCCCCGGTCCCTGAGTAAGATGATCAGATGTCACTACAGATGATGCATTGTGACTTTACAAACTTGTTGTCCAGGCTCAGTCGTTGTTGTTGTTGTTGTTGTTGTTGTTTTATCTAGGATTTTTTTTTTTGACAGCCTCATCCTCAGTTTCTTTCCTAGACGCACATGAAACTGTACATCCTGAATGTAAGCTGAACGACAACACTCGACCGTACAGCCGTCGTTGCCCTTGCATTTGCCTTAATGATGATGATCACTTGTTAACCAGTCTTTGGCTTTAATGGCGCCATCTATATACATTCTTGTGTCATCAGATTTCAGATCCTTCATAATTTGTGTGATCATGTGGTCCAGAGCCATCAGACTGGTTCTTTTTTAGTGTTATTTTATATGTACTCCACTCAACCACCACACACCACATTATGCCAAGTTTCTGTTCCTCCCAGTGTGAAAGCCGTCCCCCCGGCAGCTTAGTCTGCCTCCAGATTCACTGGCTGTCCTGGTTTCTGGACTGCTGGTCCCACTTTGAAATGAGAAGTGTCTCAGCGGACTACGAGGGACTCTCCACTTTCACGCTGGTGACTGTAGCTGTGAAACACCTCTGGAACAGGCGCTCAGGGTCTGGGGCCTGGTTATCACAGTCCAGCTTCCTGCTCTTGAAGTGTTTGCTGAATCCCCGCGGACCAGACGCCCTCGCATTGCTAGATCCCTCGCTGGGATCTCCTTCTGAAAGGCACACATAAGACAGATGCACAAAGTAAAAATTACCTGCCAGGTAGCAAACAACAAAGAAATATGAGTCATTTAAAGCCTGAAAATGCTGCTGACTGCTGAGAACTAGAGTCTGTCAGGAGGAGCACATCAGAATGTGCTTCCTATTATCACAGAGTACTTACACAAAGACACACACACACACGCACATGCACGCACACGCACACCAACCTGGCACTCTGAGGGGCAGGCCGTTGTCAAGACGACTGGGTTTGGTGGCGATAAAGAGGTAGCAGAGGACACATACGGTGATGAGAAAGGCAAGAAGGACCACAGCTGCAATGGACAGTCCAACCAGAGCACCGATACTGAGAGGAGGGGAGGAGAGGAGGGGAGGAGAGGAGGGGAGGAGAGGAGAGTAGGAGAGGAGGAGAGGAGAGTAGGAGAGGAGAGGAGAGGAGAGGAGAGGAGAGGAGAGGAGAGTAGGAGAGTAGGAGAGGAGGAGAGGAGGAGAGGAGAGGAGGCACATGTTGACATGAGGATGCAAAAGATAATACTAAAAGACAGAATATCAAGTATATCTATCCCTGCACACACACCTACTCACCAACACACACACTCACAAAGGACATACTCTCTCTATATATATATATACACACACACATACACACACACACACACACAAACAAATGTGTGGTGAAGTTGTCGCTGTCTCACTGGATTAAAGCAATGATCCCGCTCTCCTGGCTCAGAATGAGTAAGGAGATGGATTCAAAGGACTCCAGCAGATGAAGTAATTAGCTTTTTCAAGGATTTTGTGTCAGTGTTGAATCACTGGGGAATCTGTGAGTCAGGTTTTAAAACAGGTGGCGCTGCCTGGATTTCTGAATAGCACAAACACAAAAAAGTAAAGAAAAAGCTGCAGTCTGAAGGAAATGTTTCATTTACACAATGATTAGTCCATCACTTGATCATAGGAGGATCACAGCCTAAGACATCTTCATTCAAACATGACTAAATAAGTCAATCAAATAAAACAGAATGAGTGCCAATCAGGATTTTTTTTTTGGGGGGGGGGGGGACACTTACCTCAGCCACCACATGTATCCGTACTCATACGGGAAGAAACTGTTGGGATCATCACAGCAGTATTTCATATCATTAAATCCGCAACAGTAAACGGCGGCAGCGGCATTTCCCGGCTTGGGGCAGGAGAAAACGTCCACGAACACGCCGTCAGTGCTGTAGTAGCTGCTGCATTCAGCGCTCATGGTGCAGCGGTGGACAGAAGAAAGTTAAGAAAAAGAAAAAAAAAAAAAACCCCACTACGATCTGTTCATTAAAGAGAAGAAGATCCCAGCTTCCTCGGGACGACGTGCACTCTGCTGTTAGACCGTGGTACACCATGTGTTTATCCACCCTCCGCGTGAATGGGCGCGCGCAGAGACGGAGGTGGAAAACTTTGAATCTGCACATCTCTCTCTCTTTCTCTCTCTCTCTCTGTCATTTCACACGCTCACTCTGTTTACTTAAGCTTCAGTCTATAACTTTTAATTCACAACAGAGCACACAGTGGCTCACGTGCACCTATTGCCTGGAAATCTGTGGTTATAATGTGGATTTCTCATAAATTAGATTTGAAGTCCTAAGTTTTTATCGTATTTGAACATTTTTGATGAAGTGAACTAATTCATCCTATACAGAAATGTAATATATGACGTGTCCCTTTATCAAGAGTGCTGTTGCCATATATGTCAACTAGGCTATAAGAGAAATATATATATATATATATATACTGTATATATCCTCTGGATATATGAAGATAAACGTTTATAATATACTAATAGACTTTTGGATCCTACTCTATATAATATCAACATATACTGACAGGCTTTAGTATGAATAAATACTTAGATGTCATTACATGCATATATATATATATATATACACAATCATATATACATACATTTCTTTGGCCTGGACATACAAGTCAATATATCTTATTCCAATTTCTAATAGTTTTTATAAATAATTTTTACTTTACATATATTTCATATAGAGAAATTCAATATATACATATACTACATTTGCACATGGGATTTAAATTCAATCAAAGTATGTGCCTCTTACAGTACAAAGAGAACCGGGACTTTTCTCGATGGACCACTACACATGTGAAAAAAATAACAGATGAGAGAGAGCAAGGGGGAGAGAGATAAATGTGGCTGTGCTGCGGTGATCGACCCAGTGGAGCAGGCTGAGCAGCCCACTCATGTTTACTTACCTATGGTTTATGTGTTGGTATCTTTAGCATGGTTGAAACACAGAGGCAGCCAGCAGTGGACTGTTGCTGACTCCTTTCATGTGAAACACATAAAGCTAAAATCCAAATGCTTCATAAAGCTGTGCAGCAGCAGTAACTGTGCAGCCAACAGACCACAGCTCCCAATAAGTCCAGAGCAAACACCAGTCTGGCAGAAGACAACAGGAAGCTTGTCTGAATGTATTCAGCGGGATGACGTTGTTGTACAGCTTTGTTTTCTGCTCTGGTCTCATTAGGAATTCTAATACACTAATTAAAGTTTGTGTGATCCGCTCAGATCAATACAATTCATATTTTAAGAAAAAGCCACCAACATTCAATTATGTCTGCTGCTGTATTTACTGCTGTACTGTCTGATCTCTTTCTCAGTACTAACATGTTATTGGTTATTTTACAGACTGTAGCTACTTTGTTGTAGTTGTGGACTGTAATATGAAAAGGTTTCTCATAGAGTTTCTCTTCTTGAACTACAATAACAAAGTCATCATCGAATCTGTAATTAACAAATAGACTGTAAAATTACAAAATTATATAAATATAATTCATGTGAAGCCGTTTCTAGTGTTACAGGGGCTGTATGTGATGTGTTTTGTGGGCCAGGTCCCCGCCCGGTTTTTATTCCCACTCTGTCTCTGTCTGTATAAGCTACAGTCTGCTGTGATCTATAGCACTGCAGTAAATACAGTCCATTTTTCACACGTTTTTTTTTTTCTTTATTCTCTAAGACTTATTATGATCCAGGAGCTGTACAATGGTTTACGTAATAGTCATTTTATTTTGTTCCTGTGGGAAGAAAGGCAGCACAGGCCTGGGTGCATTACTTTTAATAATTTTATGATGGAAATAAACGAGGGCTTTGTGGTGAAAACTTGATGTGACTTGATCCTCCCCGGTGGTGCAGTGCAGGTACATTCAGTTGTATCCACTCAGTATTCAGTGAGAACAAAAAGCATATTAGCGCCACTGCTGCGCATGTTTCACCACTAATTAAATGTCCGTCATTTTTTGACACATGTACGGCTGTATGCATTATTATAAGTCTCTAAGCCTGAGCCATTAGGAGCTGAATCTAAAGCAGGATAAATTGTGCAGCGAGTCATCACATAAATGCTAAATATTGATTGTTTAAATAGATTATTTTGGCTTAGATGACTCAAAACACTTAGACAAATAATACTATGAACACCATAAGATTTCATGTGATAATATCCCCACACAGTTTCATGGCAGACACCCAAAGATGTGCTGGCACTTTTGGCTCATGAAATCTCTTCCTGGGAACGTGTGGGTCTTTGATTGACATCTCCCTCCTTGTTGCACCCGCAGAAAAAAATATTATTCTTACTGGTACATCGGCTGTGGCCAAAATCTCTCCCTCTTTACAGCTGCAGTCATGAACATCACATGACCAGGCATAATTCCCATCACCTTTACTTAATAGTATTTATTGTAGTTGAGTGGCCTATTAGTTTAGTGAACTGAGATACTGATGGTGGAGGAAGAACATTTGTGTTTTCAGCAGGGTCTATCTAATCTGCTACACTTTCAAAAACTAGTTTAAAATATAGTATTAGCTAATACTGTGTTGAATGTTGATGCAATGGTTTGAATTTACTTACTTAACCCTTATGCCCTCCTCGGGCATTTTTGTACATTTTTCTCAACTTTTTTTTTTGATTTGCTGATCATTTTGGCTGTGTTACAGCTTGTGGCATAATTTTTTGCAAGAACTTTTCTTTTTAGTAAAATTTTTGAAATCCATTGTCTTTTACTCTTACACTTTCTTCAAAATGAAATGCTAACATTACAGAATGCATGGTTTTATACTGTAATGGCAGTGAGATTAAAAAATGTGGTTTTAATGGAAGTCAATGGGGCATTTTTGGCCACGAGGGTGTCCAGAGGGTGTATCTCGCACTACATAAAAAATACTAATGCAATCAAATCAATTTTGTTGTTAATCTTTGACATATCCAAGTCTCTAATTACCACCAAAGCCTCATCCGCCTACTATTTATTATATGGAATATAACTCATTTTTGGTGGGTTTTTTCATAAATAATTAATAATTCAAATAATTAAACTGGCATTTAAAGGGTTAAAATCCTGAAAATGATTGAATGTTTGGTAGTTTTGAGCGGGTTGGAAGTTGTTTAAGAGACTTATGAAAAAAAAAAGCAGAAAAAAATATTGATGTATGAGGATTTTATTGCCGATTTTGTGTGTGTACATTTTTGTCCACGAGGGTGTCCAGAGGGTAGTAAATTTGAGGAGGGCATAAGGGTTAAATTACTTTAAGATTAATTCATTTCCAGGAACGAGCCCAGTGCTGGGTTAAATAAAAAGTCACCAGAAAATAATGAAAACATCATTAGAAACAATTCTTACAGGTGCTTTGTCTGAACAAAGGCAATGTTGGCACACACACTGTGTTACTACACACTCTGAAGCATTAATATTGCACTCCAGGCAGTAGTCTGTATGTTACTGTATATATCAGAATGGTGAAGAAAGAGACAAAGGGAGACAGACTGGTCGGCCAGGGCTCAGCCAGATAACGAGCCAAAACATCAGAAGAGAAGAGGCAGACGGTGGCTTCACATGTTGGAGGAGCTGCACAGTCTCCAGGCTTAAGACTCCGTGGTTTTGAATGAACTGGACAGACGGTGACAGCAAAGCAACCTGCAAGTGCAACTCATTTGTGCAAACTTCTGCAACAGTGTTGGGACAAACTTAGTGAACAGCATTTTAGAAATGTGCTCGGCTGTTGAATGAGTCAAACATTTTGATTTTAACTTTAGTTAAGCAAAAAAGATTCTGTGTTTCCTGTTTTTATCTCCAGTTGTTTACTCGGCTTTAGTTTCAGAATACACTGAGACATTAAGTGACACAACAACTGGAAAAACTGAGGTATGTTTGACCAGTAGTGCAGTTATGTCGCTATGACACTTGATAATACAGTGCCTGACAAACAGGGAGAGAAGCCCCTCACGGCAAACTGCAAAACATCACTCTCTGAGATGCAGAGCGTTTCAGGCAGTAGATCATAATGTGTTCTTAATCAGATTCTAAAATGTTTATTGCTATCTAAAAATAGCAATCATATCTTAAAAATGTAATCTTACCAACCAAAATACTGTAATACTGCTATTTTATCTACTTTATACATTTGGTATGTCAACAGTTTTCTTGCCAAGTTTATCCCTTCAGTAAGACTCTGGGTCCCTCCCTCATTGGTATGCTAGTAATTATTCCTTTGTCTTCAGTGAAAGGATTTGTAGAAGAAAGGGTTTCCCTCATTGCATCAATCCAAAGTGCAAAGGTCATACACAAAACACGATTACTATTACTGATGTGTTAATCCTGGCCTTAACTGCAAAGGTAAGTTTGACTTCCTGTGTTTTCTGTAATGGGTAAAGAGAATCTGCTCCCACAGTACGTCGAACCTTCACACAACCAACTCTGTAATCATACAACCATCAGCTGTCAGACGATGTGAATGGTCCCAGTTGATGTAACCATCAATCTGTCTTACCATGCATCCCATATGACATGAATGTGATGTTACATATCCACTCTACTACTCCCACACATACAGCTGTTATGTTCGAGCTCAGGACTTGATTGGCAAGTCCCTCCCTCTCCTGTTACACTCCCGTGTAAAGGAGCGCCATTTTTATCTACATTTACATCTTTATCTCTCCTCTTGGTACATGCAGTTTCAACCTGAACTCGGAAAGAGGTTTCATCCGGAAACCTGTGTCTGCATTGTCTTTAAGGTGAACCACAATTTTGACGGTTGCTACTACTCTTACCTTAAAGCTGCACTAATTAATATTTTTGTAATAACGATGGCTAAAATGTTCCCTCAGGTTCCATCAGCACCACGGAGGCTTTCAGTGCTCATTGTTCTAGTTTCCTGGCCTCAACTTTACTGTTTTGGTTCAC